TCCACAGATAGGTTTACAGTATTAGCTTTACAAAGTTGATGGGGGGTGCCAGTAAGCATGACTTCAGTCATGTCACAGTTTAGATGAAGGAAATTGTGAGTCATTCATGTTTTTATGTCAGAGATGCAATTAGAAAGAATAGAGACAGCCACATCAGTGGTATGGATATAGATCTGAGTATTGTCAGCATAGAAGTGATAGTTGAGGCCATGTGATCTTAAAACCTGACCAAGTGGAAATATGTAAATGCTAAAAAGTAGGGGCCCCAGTATCGAGCCCCGAGGAGTACAAGACTTAACTAGTCCAATTTCAGACCTAAATCTGCCAAGAGAGACAAAGTACAATGAACCCTGTACCAATTTCTTTTGGAGTTTAAGAACTGCCATCATTCAGGTATGTAACTTGAAATGTAACCAATTGGATCTCCGCAAATCGAAAAATATTCATTTTACAGTATATGTTCTCATCTTAAATTGATCTACTATGTGATGAAGGGCTGTATTAACCCCTTCTCGCATGGCCTTTATGGCTTGTCATAGGACATTTATAGTTTAAACTATATATAGTTTATCTATTGCTACATTATTTCTGTTTTGTATGTATTGTTTTATTGAGTTGTGTGTTAGATGCTGTGGACCAGATGCAGTCCTGGTCTGTTCCCCCATCTTGTGTCAGGCTACAGAGCGTGTTGACCCATCCCTTTAAATGGAGGTTCACCTGTGCATCAGGAGGACCAGGTGTGGGGTTCATAGCATATAACCTGGCCCTGGTGATGTAGTAGTTAGTTGGTTGAATTTGGTCCTGTCCTGTTGCTTTTCAGCTTGTACTTCTCAGATTGGTTTCCTTTATTAAATGTGCATGCTTTATTCCTACTCTGATGGTATGGTGTTTTTTTTTTTACTTGGCTGATTACTTATACTGAGTAGTTAGTCATAAACTAGTATGAGCAGTTCAGGTGAGGCTGACTAAAAATCTGTGTGCAGGAGATGCTTTGACACTTTACCCCTGAAGTGAGGTATTTCTGACATTCAGGACTGACCAAAGAAAGAGCTGGAATGTTTCAACGTTGGGAGTCACAACTATGGTCATACTGCCAAAACAGGGGGTGTGAGATGGGACCCTGTTACCCCAGAACAGGGGGTGTGAGATGGGACCCTGCATCCCACAGGATGCTTATCTATTGCAAGGCCTATAAACACCCGTATAAGGAGATAAGGTGATGCCTATTAGCCAAGCCAGCATGTCTATGGAAGGTGAGTAAAGGGGAGAGCCTGAAGAAAACCCACAAGGACACTGAGAAAAAATGTGAGCTCTGCGCAGAAGGCACTGGATCCCAAGAGTGAAGCAGCAACACTAACAGTACCTGTACCCAGGGTCCGCATTGAAAAATGAAAATGATTCTTCTCTGCACAGGAGTAAAACAAAATAAATTAAAATTCAGCTGTTAACATCACACTGCTCCTGTACATTATTCAACATTGTGTTTTTCTGTTATACAGTCTCACAACAATTCCTGGGGAAGCTCTGCCACGATGCATGTCTGCAAAACAGAATTAAGTTGTACCTGCCTTTGCTAAACCATCAGCAGAAATACATTCAAAATGCTCTGGTCTAGTGTTGCTTCATCATCAAAGGGGTGTGAATTGGGATGTACGGAGACCCCTTCAGATATGTGTCTAAAGCTGTGAGTTCTGTGTTTGCATCTGACACTGCTCTTCTGACACGTGGTAATAGTGGTATAAAAGGCTGATATAAAGTGCAGGATTCCTGTGCTATTAAACATGCAGCTGCAGGGGTTGTTATGTAGGAGGTGAAGAAGCACAAAGCGGGCTATGACTTTACAAGCATTCTGACTCCCACTGGATCAAGATAATTGCATAGTTCTCCTGCCTTTTTAGCATATCATGGATGGAGATTAACTGCTGATTTTGACTGCTCAGTGGGAACATGGCCCAATTATTGTGTGTATTTTAGGAATTGCCTATTCAGGAAAGTTTTCCAATTTTGTAAGTACAGTATCTCAGTGTAGTAAGGAGAAAACGTTTGTTGTTTTAATTATGTATATTGTGATACTAGGACAGGGGTTTGCAGCACTGATCTGGGTATTCCAGTTTTCATGCCACCCAAATCCTAAATGATTTTACCATTGCTGCCTTAATGAGCTAAAGTAAATTATACCATGGTTCTATACCATTTAAAAGCTGCGTCTGAAACCTGCAGAGTTCCGGTGCTCCAAGCCCAGTGCACCACAGCAGTGCCACTCAGCCTGTGGATATATGATCCACTTCATTGTATAACTTTGCTATAACTATTCCGTAAATTAATTAGTCCTTAATTTGGAAATTCAATATCACAGTTTAGGTGTATATATATATGTATATATACTATACCAACAGCACCTTCATTGGTATATGCAGTAGTACAGTAAATTGTTTACCACTGGATATATAATGTATTGTGCTAATTCTGCAAATTTGTAAGAAAATCTTATTTATAAACTACATGCCATTTAAGGAATCAGAGTTTGCTATACTCCTATAGACTATATTTCAGATTTCAAGTATGGTAGGGTCCTGTTTTTCATTCCATGTTTGACCTTAAGTGCTTAATTGAATAAAATATTTCAATATGTACTGTACAAGTAATCAAATCACCTATTATTTGAAGTACTAATTGAAAAGGGAATGTAAAACCTATAGAATATTTTCCCTGAAAAAATGGGGACTCTTTCAGAGCTGGGTGGTGTACTACAGATATTTCGCTCTGCGTGTTACAGTCCATGTGCTTATACACTTTTCTTTAGCCCATTATTAAATGGGGAACATTGAAATAATGTAATTGTTCTTAACTGTTTTCACCATCTTCAACAAGTTTTCTATGTATTATTAATCATTAGAGTTATTGAGAACTGAAAAAAGGTGTTGCACTAAATTACCTATTCTCCAGTCTGGCATTTCTAATTTGAAGACACCAAAGAACCCTTAAGACTCAAGATTTATGATCACCAATCCAAACCAAATACAATCGCAGTAATATGGCTCCATTTGTAATAACATGGACAAAACAAAAATACTTTTTCCGTATCTTTAAGTCACTAATAGTTAACAGTTCTCAAGCATAAAACTTTGAGAGTGTTAAAAATAAGCAAATGCACACTTTTTATGTTTCTCATTAAAAAATTGAAATACCTCACAAAATGGGAAACTAAATATCTAATAAAGTTCAAAGTTACATCTGTGGAGACTGGAACATAAAAGCCATTGACTTGCTCAGTACATATCTCCTGTACTCTGCAAAGTTAGCACTTTTAAATATTCAAGTTGCATTTTTAGACATCAAAAAGCTTGTTGTTATGGTAGAATAGTGCTGACAGACATCTCATGAATGCTATTTAGCTAGTACTTCACGATAGACTGGCTTGTGGTAATGAGTTATGCACATTTGGGAAGTTCGAGAAGCATTTATCATTGGCAACCAATTTGACTTTTGGAAGAGCTATTACATTAATTTATAGCTGCAGCTGGAGATCAATTGAAATTAACTTTAAGCAAGAGTGAATGCTAAATATGTCTACTGGAACAGAAAAAGGTCTGTTTTCTACTTGATAAAGTACTTATATAAACTTGTAATACAGCACAGTAATTTATTTTAAATTATGATTTCATTAAACGTTTGTGTCTGAGGAATTCAGAAGGAATCTCCATGGAATAATGCTGATAACACGTATGTGAAAGTGTTGTCACATTATGGCAATAGAACACTCTCTTTTGGGATTTTGGATGATTATGTGTTAGCAGTACTTTAAAAAGCTCTATATAGAGATTCACTCCACGCATTTCTTCCTAGAAATACAGAGAGCAGAAGAAGAGCACTTCACTAATATTTCTTCATTGAAGTGTCCTTTTTGCAATATGCATATAGACCTACAGCAAACTAAAATCTTAATGATCTTAAAAGAAATTCAGCAATGTATTCTCCTAACAAGGGCTCTGAGATAAGTTGAAACTGCTTATCAAATGTTCAAAAAAGATGAATCCCTAATGCAAGAAATTTTATATGGCCAATAAAGTGATCTTATCTAATCTTATCATCGTTAAATGATTTTATAGGTGAAACAGCTGTAGATGACTCAGATGTGAAGTTTTCAGGCTTGAGTTTTGAATGACATGCTCCTGAAACTGTTATAATTGCTTTTGAAATGAATGTTTTTGTCATGCTTAAGTACACAATGCCACCTAGATACTTTTTTATTAATATTTTAAGTAATGCAGATGGATATTTAATGCCAAAATAATACTTGTCCACAAATCTGTACAACACTACGAACATAACGTGCAAAGAGACACTGAAAGCAATAAGCAGTTTAGTAGATATATGAATTTAAGAAGAGCTTATCTGGCATCGGAATTATTCAAGTTTTGTGTTTTTTACTTGCAAACTGAGTATGGTCGCCATAATGTAGGTTAGAAGACACATCACATGATGAAATATAACCACTACATCTGAGGATGCAGATGAAGTACTGTGTAATGTAAGTAAAGTAAGTGAAGTACTGTATAGCCACTTCTTTGTTTTACAAATGTTTATATTGCAATGAAGAAGACCGAAGACCAGCAATTCTAAAGATCTAAGAGTAGGTGGAAACATCATCCTTTTAATTCAATTTTTATTACCATTGCATGCTTCTGTAATTGCTTAAATGTGACCTGCATCAGGGTAATTGAATCTTTAAGGTAGAACAATAAGGCATGGCTTGTCCTATTGCCAAATAAATGTGGAGCCACAATGAAACAAATCTTTTAAATTTGCAGTTTCAAAACTAACAGGTCATTTGACTTGTAGAGTCAAGACAATGAAAGCCCAGAGGTTGATTTTTAGAGTAGATTTCTCCATGTCCTCTCAACACCAGCTTACTATTCACCAAAACCTGCACCCAGAGGACGAAATGTGAATGAAGAAAAGTGCTGATTGTTTCTCACCTCTGGATTTTTGTTTTTCAGAGTGCAAGTCGAATTTTATGTGAATGAAAACACCTTCAAGGAGAGACTGAAGCTTTTCTTTATTAAAAACCAAAGATCGAGTGAGTACCTGGTCTTGTTTTGTGTTGTCCTGTGAATCATGCATGTCGATAATAGATCTCGTCTCGTCTTTATGGAAATAACTGAAGGACCCATTTTCAGTGAGGTTCATTAAACAAGCTAAAAACCCACTGATCATGTCGGAGGTACTGTAGCTGATGCAGTTTTCTGCACTCAGTGAAGTTATATCTGAATTGATAGAAATAGGTGTAATACTGTGGTGACCATGTAAAGCTGTACTCATGTTACCCTTTTTGATGGCTGTCGTGTCCCTTTTGCAGTGGCAAAATGATAAAATGGGTTGGAAAACACCGGCACTGTGATAAGCTGAGGAGGGTTCTGATCCCCCTTTTAATAATTGTACCGCTAATAGTTAAAACAAGTCCCACCAAATAATACCAAACAGGGGCATCACAGCCATTTAAGAGGTTTAACATCATCACACTTCAGCAACAAACAGCCTCTAACAATCTACCCCACTGAAAAAGCTGTGCTCAGTATATACTGAATAAATTTATGAAAATGTGTGACAGGTAGTTAATATATACATTAACTGGGAGAAATATACAGTATCCCCATATACAGTACAGTGCCTATAAAAAGTATTCACCCCCTTGGACTTCTTCACATTTTATGGTGTTACAGCAAGGAACCATGATGTATTTAACTGATAATGTTTCCCACTCATCAACACAATGTACTTTATACTGTCAAAGTGGGGAAAAAAATGCAGCCATTTTAGTAAATTAATTAAAAATAGGAACAGAAAATAATTGAATGCATAAGTATTCACCCCCTTGCTTTGACACACCTAAATTACCTATGAAATAACCAACTCTCTTCTCAGGGCCATCACCAGAGCAATTTGAATGGGTGGACGTTTGGTTTTAACCTGGGGGACCTGGTTTGAGCGCTAGTTTGAGATGCATGACTCTACAGATGATGCTGGGTGTTTTCATTCGTCATGACAGAAAAAGAAAATTTGATTGAAATGGTAGATTAGTTACATAAATATTTTTCAATATTCAGTTCATCAATAAAAAAGGTGAGAAAATATGGAACAACAGTGAATTTGCTCAGAACTGGCCGTCCTCCAAAACTGAGTGTCCGGGCAAGAACAGCCGTAGTAAGGGAGGCCACCAAGAGGCCTACGGCAACTCTAAAGGAGTTGCAGTCCTCCGTGACAGAGATGGGAGAAACTGTGCATGAGACAACAATAGCACGCACACTTCATAAATCTGGCTTGTACAGAAGGGTGGCAAGAAGAAAGCCTTTGTTAAAAAAAATTCAAATCACGCTGGAGTTTGCCCAATTTGGAGGTCGGATGAGACCAAAATTGAATTTTGGGACCTCAGTGCTAAGCGCTATGTTTGGCGCAAACCTAATCACACTGAAAACACCATCCCTACAGTGAAGCATGGTAGTGGCAGCATCATGCTTTGGGGATGCTTCTCTGTGGCAGGGACTGGAATACCCATTAAGAATGAAGGAAAAATGGATGGACGTAAGTACGGAAAACTCAGGGAAGAAAACGTGCTACAATCTGCAAGAGCACTGGGACTTGGAAGATGCCTCATCTTCCAACAGGACAATGACCAGAAACATACAGCAAAAGCCACACTGGAGTGGCTTAAAATAAAAAAGGTTAATGTCCTTGAGTGGCCCAGTCACAGTCCAGACCTCAATCCAACTGAACATTTGTGGAATTACTTACAAATTACTGTTCACAAACGGTCCCCATCCAACCTGATTTTCCCTGAAGAATGGGAAAAAAATCTAGTGTCAAGATGTGCAACGCTGATAGAGACTTGCGTCTAAATAATTTATTTATTTCTAAATAATTTATAATGGCCTGAAATAATAATGCCTTTTTGCTCCCCTTGGGCCTGCAGTTACTGTATTGTGTGTTGTTTTTCCACTTACGTTGGTAAAAATGAAAGCAACCTCTTTATATGCTGTCGCTAAGAGCCTTGGGAAAGTTTTTGGAAAAGTCAACACAGTGAAGAGAGCAGAATGGAGGAAATCTGGATACTGGCAGGACTATTTGGATGTGGTCCAAGTTCCAAAGAACTCTTTTTTGTGTCAAAATCTAAATTACCTGTCATGCTTGTCGTGCCCTGCTGTGGGATAATCTTGAGAGAGAGGGATCATTTTAAGGTAAAGGCAAGGCCTGAAGAGAGACAGTGTCGCTGAAACCTGAAAGTCGTACGGCTGTGACATTTGGCAAACTGATGGGTCATGTTTTCAGTCTTGTAGTTATGGTATGATGGTATGCTTAATCCATCAGCTCTGACAACTTTTAAAAGCTTTGTTGTTGTGCTCTAAAAAACGCTGATAAGCTCAAAACAAATAAGCTCTTCAAATTGCTCCTTTAGGGATGATAACAATTTAATTGGGTACTGTATGTAGGCTTTGAAGTGGAATAATTTAAAATTCTATGTGGTGACCTGTGTCAAGGGGCCAGTCTGTAAATATGCAATAAACAGGGTGCGGTAAAGCATTTCAAATTAAAAGAAGGTGATGTGTAACGTTGGACATGTGTGAACTTGTGTGGTAGATACATGCTGCTTTACACAACATGTAGCTCTCAGGAAGGCCTCAGGGAAAAGTCACAAAAAAATAAAAAATCTTATGGGATTTATTTTCACCACATCTGTTTGGCTGAAGTGCTTTTTAAAATTGATTTTCTGTACAATGCACATTGTTGATATCGGTTAAAGGTGTTCTGATGTGATAGAACCTTTAAGCAAAACCCAGGATGGACAACCTTATTCAGCCCCCCTGAATTAATTTGTAGCCCCCAATGATAACAATTTGGGCCCCACAAAGCTGTTCAGGGAAAAGGATGATAAAAGATCCAATCTCAGCTAGAATCTCTCAGGGCATCTTGGAATCAATAGCAACCGGGCTAGTCTGGGATGAGATGGCTGTTGGGGAAAAATATAAAAAATGAAACAATACCACAGCTTCTGAGGTTGTGCCTTCAAGCTGACCTGTCAGATGCAAGCTGAGAAATATCCTAATGAAAGACCTCCTCTGTGTGCATCAGTAATCCAAATAACGCCAACTTATTAATGGCCCAAGGGTTTTTTTTTTCTTTAGATGTCTCCTTTGCTGTCATTATCCCTTTCAGAGACATGGGTTTTAAGACTTTAACTGCTTTACAAGGAAAAAAGAGAGAACAAACTGGATGGCAGGGTTTTAAAGAAATATGTTTAAAATCTGGAGAAAGACTTAATTCATTGATTAAAAACATGAAAGCAAGTTAATCAACAAGATTGACTGCTTTAGAAATGCATGACTAAAAGGACCACCTTAGGACTTTGAAGCACACAAGGTAATGAAATTGAAAAGGTTCTGTAGCCTTTGGGAACAGAAGATGCATGACTCCTGTGTAAATAAGGACAGTTTTAATGTGCTGTTCATGCAGAAAAAACACTATTGAAAATGGTGCACTGGCCTCTGTGTGCAGCTCTTGAAGATAGGTACAGTAGGAACATCTTTAAAAAAATAGATTCTGTGAGTAAAAGCAGAGGGCTTAGTCTTCTATATAAGGACCCGTGTTAGCCCTGTCGGCAGTGATTACAGAGATTGGACTGTTTTCTCTGCTACACTTAGCTCTGACCTTTCTTTAAACACTTGAAGCAATTGCTCTGTTAGCCAGATCCAGCAAATAATATATATTGTTGTTACAGTATATTTACAGCATGGAGATAGTGGTGCTGTATATTTCATGTAAAATAAAATGATATGCAGTCAGCATTTTATATATATGTCTAAGACGTTTGGAGCACTGTTTGTATAAAAATTTTTATGATGTTAAATTATCTATATGTATGAGTATAGACAGTTTATTTAAAGTCTCCACTAGAGGTTTCTACTGTTCCAGCAATTTTGGGGTTAATATACAGTAATATAGTATAATTTTGGGGTTAATGTGGGATAAGAAGAAACTAAGCTTGTCATTTAGCAATTTTCATCATGGATCAGAATCTTCAAACACTTGCTCATTAACTTATGATAAACTATATATCAACAGCCAATGCATTGTAGTAGCTGATCCTTCACATTTGGCAATCAAATCTATGTCACTCATTCTTGGGTTTGTCTGTTCATTGACATTGTTTGATCCTCTGTACACATCCATAAAGAAAAAAGGTCTTTGATTTAGTCTTTGATTTAATTTTAAAAAACCAAGACAGAGTGTATTAGATGTAATGTGAATGTATGTACTGTATTTGTGACACACAGAGACCAAAAGAAGGAAGCATAGATTAAATGAATACAATAAATTATTTTAAGAAGGGCAAACCAAGACCAGACCTTATTTTTCAGTAGTATGCTGCCTGGAATCCTGAAAAACTAGCTGCAATAAAGCAGTCAAACAACAACCAGCAGAATTTTTTCAATAATTGATACGTTTAAAATTAAAATAGCAAAAATTCCCTTATTAAATGCCAGATTTGTCAGATCTGCTCACTTGGTTTTAGATCTATGGGTACTACTTAGCAGTTTGAATGTATGTTTTCTGTGTAAAATTTACTTATCTACTGCACCAAATAGGTAATTCACACCTACTGTACATTTCCCATATGTACTGTAACTGTTGCCACTAATTCACATAAAAACCCCTTAGTGGTGAGCAGACCTCATTGTTTAGATTGAGTCCGACTTCAAACCAGAAAGAAGTGAGATGTCCTGCAGATGTGTGTGGGTGGATAATTCACAGAGCAAAATGAGAAAAAATAGATAAGCAGCAGCACTCATTTCAGATCAGGCAATAACATTCTGAAGCGGTTGTCCAGACTTCAAAACATGACTTAATTTTAATGATCGTGACTAATGAATAATAATATACAGATTTTAGTTTGGAGCCCGCGTGATGCTTCAGTGAGTCCGGAGCTCCATCTAGTCGAAATTTGTTGCCATAGCATCAACACGACAAAGTCAGAACTGAGAAGGAAAATTCGAGAGAGAGCACAGGGGAGTCCTGATCCAAAGGGCACATTGTATTATACAGACAGTTAAAAGGAACGCATTAGTCTTGAGAGAGAGAAGTTACAAGGACAATTTATACTAAAGTAGTTCAGGTGGGTGGCTGTGTCAGCATGCGTAGGCTGCAAAGGAACAAGTAATACGTTTATTCCATACTGAAAAAGAGAAGAAAGAAAACACAACGTTTCGGCTGTGAAGGCTCCACAAAAAGGCTCTACAGAGAAGGCTCCACAGCCGAAACGCTGTGTTTTCTTCCTTCTTTTTTCAGCATGGAATAAACAATTTATACTACAATACTTTATAGTATTTAGGTTTGCCAAAACATGAAACGTGTTGAAAAAGTTAATCTCGGCAAATGTGTGAAACAAGTGAAAAATAAGACAAAGGACATTTAGCACTTACGTGGGGGTAGTTTGAATTTACTGAATTTACACGCCTTCTGTACTTTTTGCACTCTGAGTGCAAATCTTCTCATCTTTTGGAAATGGAAACAACCAGCAAACTATTAAAAAAAACTCTATGGCAAGCATGTTCCAGTCCAAAAATCTTTTCTCCTTCTGCTATAACTCTTTAAAATACAGTTGAGGGCACATGTGACGAGTTTTATGTGTTTTTTCAGTTTTTTGTCCTTTCTAATGTAAGATCTAATTGTGAATAAATGCTTCACAGTTATCTGGAAATGGAAAAGAAAGCTGTCCTTTAAATCACATTGTACTGAGTCAAAGAGGTCAAAACCATAAAACATTCCCAGTATTTAATTTCTCTGTGTTTTATTTACTTGCATACCTCTTCATCTTCTAAGACTGTGCACAAATGAAACATGCATCATTTCATGAAAATGATTCACCTTTTCAAGTCATCAACACTTCTCATTTTTAGATAACCTGAATTTTTCTCAATAGGCTCACAAAATATGCAATCTTTCTTAAATTTTAATCCTGCTTAGTAAATACTGTATGTGTGGCTTTTTTCTAACATATCTCAAAGTTTGCACTGTATACTGTAAATGGACCATTTTGTTTAAATTACTAAGTTATAATAATGCACTTAATGCAATAATGCTTTGCACTATTACTGTATATCAGCTCAATCTTCTGGATACAATGACAAAGTATTGGACAAGCTATTAGGTTAGGGATTTCACAAAATCATTTTTACCATATTAACATAATGTCTATCAACAATGAGGGTTTATTGTTTGGTATAAGAAGTTATTAATTTACCATATACTATGCAATGCTTTCACTATTTAAGCAGCTAGTTTAGTACATAATGTGCCTTTGCAGTTCTTAGTTTTATTAAGGTTTTGTTTGTGAGAGAAATAAGCTTTGGGTCATACAAATTACATTTTATTATATCTATAAAATGTGACTTTGTCAGATTCATAAACTTGAAGTAAGAAAAAGACTTTCAGTAGTGGTTTTTTTAATTAAGTGGAATTGGATTAGATCCCAGTTGGGTAACAGAACAATTAGAACATACTGATTTATTTTAGCTCCTCTTTCTTAAGCCACACTTTTATATGGCTTCCACTTATTATTGCATCTTCATTCCAGTTTACAGATTAATTAAAATTACCCTCACAGACTAATGCCAAAATGCTTGTTCATACAGAACATACTGTTAGGGAACTTGGTTAAAAAATTAAGTCTTAATGCAGCCAGTGGAGAAATGGGTGTTGAGAACGCACAGATGTTTGAGTACTGTACATTAAAAACCTAATGTAATTCAGGAGTGCACTGTTGAATTTATTTTTTCAATTGTATCATGTATAGCTACATTAATACGTCTTAATCTTCTTATTTAAAGTCACTACAAATGTCAGTGTACAAAAGTACACTCCTGCTGATAAACCTGGGTGCTCCTGTTAAATCCTATGTTCTCATGGGGCAATGTCTTCCTTCCACAAAGATATATTTCAATTGTAGGAAAGCTTATTTTTGTGTGCACTATAGGTGTCTAATATTGTCGTGTTGAGAATGCTTATAATAACTTAGATTATATATAAGTGATCTCTTGTATATTCTTGGCTTTGTTTCCCTTTTTCCCTACATTCTGAAATTGTGCACAAGATTTACAGAACAGGACTGTAGACCTGTAGACCACTGTAATGAGGAAAACTTACTTGATTTTTCTTTTTTTATGTTTGTTTTGTTTTCACCACCACGTTTCTGGGGGTAATGAAAGGGGTTACAAAGTAGTCAGATTTGCTTTAAGGAACATCATCAAATACAGTACAGCTTCTTTTTGGGTTTAGAAGTTTCATTGGTTTAAATCCAAAGAAGTGGAAATGGACCATTTGTGTCACATTGAAATATGTAAATGGATAATTTAACAGGCTTTTGATTTTCTTTTCCCTGATCATCCCAAAGCAGTCAGGGTCAATCTTTCTGAGTACATGTTGGCAGTACTGCGCCAACATACAGTAGCACAATTACAGTAGGTCTCTGATCTGATCTGTCAAAATTCTCTGAGATTATTCTCACAACTCAAGCGCCTGCAGATTTGTCAGCAAATTCATTTTTCTGCCATTGATGGTCAGATCAAATTTCATGTAGGGTTATACATGTGTGCAAGGAAATGTGGACTCTATAAGAGTCAAAGGTTTTAAGCTTTAAGTGGAGGAATTGAGCTGGCCCTGGCAGAGGCCTTCTGAAGGTCTGAGGCTTCTCTGACTCTGGGTTTGTCGCTGTTTCAGGTTTGAGAATTCGACTATTCAACTTCTCTCTAAAGCTGCTCACCTGTCTGCTCTACATCATACGAGTTTTATTAGATCACCCGGCAGAAATCAGTGGATGGTAAGGGGAATTTTTTTCTTGAAAACATCACCAGTGGTTTGGACATTTAACTGAAAATGTTATACTGTGCCAATTTATTATCAGATTTAAATCACTCAGTAATAATATTCATGGCATTCACAAAGTTTTAGGGTATACCTAGAAGAACTTTTGCGTAATCTGTACTTTGATATTATTTCTTGAACTTAATAGAGCATATGTAGACATACTGCAGATGTGATAGCATCAATTGCTATTTCTTGTTGTTCGTTGCAGTGATAATTGGTTTACTTCTCCAATCAGTCAATCAATCAAAGTTTATTTATCAAATGCACAGCAATACAGCGTGCAGCAGTAGTTGCTGGCAATGAAATGTCTTTTCTGCGAGCTCACCAGGGGGTTAAAATCATACAATTTAAGTTACAAAATAAGGTTACATAATAATACATAATAGTGCGATAGAAATTGAGTAAAATAAACTCAGACAGAGCTCAATAAAAATAGAGCTGCTGTGTGTCCAGGGTGTATGCAATATTTTATGTCGAAGTAGTGCAGTATGCCGAATACAATGAAAACTGTATGTCCATGTAGCCATTATGGGTGATTTGCTGAAGGTTCTGCAGTTTGGCTATTTAGCAGTCTTATTGCTGGTCCTTCAGCAAATCACCGGTAATGGCTACATGGACATACAGTTTTCATATGCTAATAGTTAATTAGCATAGTTTCCAATTGCTAATTAGCAGTACTGTATGTGCAGTCATAGGGAGGAAATTTGCAACATTGTTTTACTAAAACCTTTTTTTTTAAGTAAACACCAGTGGTTTTACATGCTATGGCCTGTAAGACTTTTTCCGTTTTCGATACTGTTTCACTTATGCTTTATTGATAATCTTTTTTTCTCCTGCTCCTGTCAGTTACTTTGTATTATATATTTACTCAATTTGGAATGACCTGATTGGAATTGCGTCTTTATATCTAAGATCACAACAACATCCTCTGTACCCACACTGTGAAGAAGGGAGACAAATTCCTTCTACCCTCTCATCCAAGAAGCCAGTCATGCTTTATAAGCGTGGCAGTGATGCATCCCTCTTTCACATTAACACAAGCCTGCAGGCACTCAGGAAGTCACCCTAAGAGAGCCCACAATGACTAATCTCTGCCCTAGAAGGGCTGCACTGATTCTGTGCCACTGCTTGAGGAATTGCCTTATGAAGCACTGGTATGGCCTTATGCCTGTTGCCTGCTGGGATAGGCTCATCTAAATTGGATGAACTGGTTCACAAAAAGTTGGATGCTTGGATTCTTGAGGAATTATGCTCCACTAAATCACAGAGCACAGAGATCACAGAGCTCAGCCAGTGGAGCCAGTGTCTTTATTGGTTAAGCAACTCAGAAACTGACCCTGCTGGAAATCCTAACTGTGTAGACATTATTGCTTTGCTGTCTGACATTTCTAATAGAACTGTGAAATGTGCTGCTACTGTACCTACAAAAACTAGGACAATGTGGTTCCTGTTGATACAAGCAGCTGTTCAAACCAATATGAAGTGTCCTTATGACAACAATGCTGGAGAAGGACCTGAAATGACTTCAAGAGTGAGACAACTTGGAAATAATTAATATTCTGTGTCCACTGGTGCTGTAATGCAGTAATTGCAATGAAACCAAGCATGTTTGGTCCTTTTATGTAGATCAATATTGAAAGCTCAAAGTATGCAGCAATGATCATACAGCTAGAATGTACTGCGAAGAAAACTAAAGCTTTATCCACACAAAAGGTTAGATGTAATAGAAATTCAAGATAATACCAATTAATGTTCCGTCATTGCTAATTGTAATCCAGTAGCACTCCCAAAATGTGGTCAGGCCAATCTAAAGCCTTTGAGTTAGATGCAGAATTCTGCAGCAATGGTAGTGCAATACTGTTCTGTTGGGGCTTCTTATTTCATTTCCATTTTGATTGTAGGACTGGGAGTGGGCATTAATTTAGCAAAGTCTGTTGACGTGATGTGTTAAAATTATTTCTGAACATGTGTACTAATGGAGTTATTGACCTTTGCTGTAGCATTAATTTTTATAAAGGTTTTTCTGAGCATTTGACCTCAAAAAGACAAACAATGTGGTTTTAGAAGACAACATAGCATCCAGAGATGTACAATACTTGTACTTAGAGAAAGTACAATAAGAAGGTTACAAGATGTTCAGATTTCACAAGCTGCCAACAACAGAAATGCCTCTTTTGGTTGGCATAGAAACCACACTTAATTATGTTGCTTATTCTCTCTGGGGTGTGTGTAAGGACCATAACATTATTCTCAGAATGATTTTGTTTTTTTCTTCCTTAGTAATGTTAATGAGAATTGCCACAGCCCAAATAGCACTGAAGGTTCACAAGAAATCAACTGGTAAGACAATTTCTTCATACTGGTGAATGCCGTTTGTATATCAAAGATGTGTGATAAATGAAAGCCAATAAATATTGCTCTGGAATATAAATAGATGGAAATAGTGTCAGTATATTTCCTGTGATTCAGTAATAATGGCCAAATCAGGCAAGAAAATGAGAAAACATAGGAAAATCTTGGGTGACAAATCTCCTAGAAAATGTATATGTATATATATATATTTCAACAAGAGGTCATTTGTCTGCTTTCCATTTTTCCAAGAAAACAATACTGCCTCTGTTCCCACTTTCTTTGGAATATTCCTCACCAGTTTTCACATCAGTCAATGGCTGTATTTTTGGCACACTTTCTGCATTTTACAAACCATGGTTCGGCCACTTTTTTGCATGATTCCCTGTGATGGGTTACACCTGCATTGAATGGTTGTCTGGGATCTGATTTTGACTTTCAGCACTTCTTTTTGGGTTATGCTGAAGTAGATTTTGAAGCAATTTTGTTCCCATCACTGTAGATGGGGTAGTGCCAGACCCTTTCTGAGGTTTACCTTTAAATGAGGTGTAACCACAAAGATAATGCTATCTTTCCTGTTATGTCTACACTTTTAGCACTAATACGCTTTCTTCTTTCTTATATGCAGTTAAGCTATGTGCCCTCTCCCTTTAAGTCAAAGTAACTTGTGTTATAAAAAAACTTTTTTTTTCTCATGGTTTGTTTTCTATATTTACAAATCATAATCCCCACAGAGCAGAATAAAGTTGTGATGAGAAGCTTGTGTTGATATTGAAATATAAAACTGAACAAATTTGACACCTGACACTACTTTAACACGGATAATTGTTTTACTCAGTATGTGTAAATCCCTTCAAAAGTTCTCCCAAGAGGTGTGTGTACTTAGGTACTGTACAAACTGAACTGTTGTAATTAATTTTAGCTGGGCTTATCTTACAGTATTCATCTTATCTTGAGTTAGAGATGTACGAAATCGCAGACACTGCAGTTACTTTTTCTTACAGGCATGTCATATTCTGGGTCAACAGAAGAGTGCCAGTGTGGGCAATACAGGTGAGTGATAAATAAGATAAATAAAGGTTAGACTAATTGAAGCATTAAGACTGGCCTAAAACAAAAGGGCATATTCATTTTATGACAATCAATCCATGTATATGTATTGTAGGCATCCTATTAATCTTCAGTAATGAGTTCTTCCCAAGCCAAATCAAATTATTTATTTGATTACATTTAAGAATATATGCTTGTGACCAGAATGTACAGAAGCCAGCCCGACAAAACATTAGTCATATGATATACAGTATATTATATAGAGAAAAGGGTTTGAGTGTCAGTGTGCTGGCTGCCAGTTAATGAATAAAAAAGAAAGAAGAAGAAAGAAGTAAAACACAACGTTCATCTTACCCACCCTTCGGCCCCACATTCATCTCTCTCTCTCTTTCCCCCACACTCCTGAAGAGGCTTCACAACCCAAACATTGTGTTTTTCTACTTTATTTTTGCATTTCAGAGTGGAATTAACCTCCACATCTTCCTTTTCGTATGCATATACCTTCATGTACTTTTAATTTTGGAGAGAGGAGACATACAGTATTAACATCAGTGTAGAAGCCTTCTCTTAGGTTGAAAATGAAGAGGTAAATAAATCAATGAGCTTCATTGCCAGTAACTGCTTCCCGAGACGTAAGCATTCATTCTGAAACATTCTCCAGTTTAATATTTCATTGACAAAGGCAGCCAGCCAAATTAAAAAGGAGGGAGGTTAATGAAAAGCTGCAGTAAATATTTTGTGAATAACATAAGTTAGAACTGAAGTCCTTTCTGCTGAGAAGGTCAATTAAATGAAAGATCAGTTAGATTATGCTAAATGTTGTAGGTTCTCAGCAATGTGCATCTGCCAGGATTTATATGGGCATGCATTATGTATTAATGTGAATGACAAGTTGCCTTGTAATTAGTGCATATTTTATAACATGAGATATGAAATGAGAAAATGAGTTTGCCAACTTAGTTTACTTCAGTAATAAGTCATATCTCTATCGAGGTTCTCGTCTTCTAGAACTTGAAAAGAAGGGTACTGTGAGTTATTATTGCAATTAAATATGCACACTGTCTTTATACTAAAGAAAGCTAATGTCTCTACAAAGATTTTACATGACCTTTTATAAACTTAAAAAATATATATTTTGAAAATTAACTGTGGCTCAATAACTGTGTATTATGCAGAGGTTGTATTTGTAATTTTTGTATGGTTTTATTCATGAATCGATTTCGAGGATTAAAGGGCTTAAGAAGTAGAGAGAAGTAGCAAATTCCCCTGATCCTCGGGAAATCATTTTCTTCTACCAGTAAAACTTTTAAATTATCTTTTGAAGTTTCTTTGATTGGGCATCCTTTCTGAAGACCAATTGAGTTTTTGATGAGGCATGTCTCTTCAGTCTTATTTTTAATATCATATCCTACTTGTCCTTGTCATATCCTAGGTTATCGTTGCCTTAATAAGTTTTTTAGAGGCTATGCTTCTCACATATCTAAGCTATAAGGTAAGGCTTCTAAGCTTTTAATTTTATAGGTTACTGAATGATTTCATTGTGTATGTTGTATTTAAGTTAATTGAAAATCTAAAGCTGTGTACTGTATATGTGATTATAATATGTTTTGCGTTGATTGCTATGGTAGATTTTATTTACTTTATTTTGTGTAAAGCATATTGCTAATATCTGTGTAATTGTGAGGTCAGACAAGTTTGTGTTGTGTATGCTAGCCAGGCACTGGAAAAAATCCTGAAAACGAACCACAAATGATAAGTCTTGTTAAGCCAATATAACTATATTTATTTGTTTTTAAAGGGAAACATTTGGGAGCAGATCTTTCAAATATCCTTCATTTTAGAGATGATCAACACTGTCCCTTTTATAATTACAGTAAGTGAATGTGCCGCCATTCTGTGTATGAGTGTCTCAGGCAGGTTGGAAAGCAGGTTGCCGGCTGTCTTGTTGTTCTGTTCTGTCTGCATGAGGAGAGCACAAGAAGACCTCCTAAATGAGAGGTTATCATTAACATAAACTGTTAATGTCCATTGGTTTTGAAAGTCAAAACAACCGAGCATTCAAAGTAGTGGAGAGTGGAGAGTTGTATACAACTCCTATGAACATGAACTACAATATGTGATATGTCATGTATAGTTTTATTGTGATTAGGACTATTGTTTACCAGTTTATGCAAATAATAAATTTGGCAGCTTTGATACTACATGATACTTGCAGCGTTCAGTTAGTAGATCACCTCCAGCTCCTGCATTTCCTTACAGAGGCCAAATATACAGGATGCCTTATATGGCATATAGAGGCCTTATATGATGTACAGTACATAAATTTCACCAAGTACAGCAGCAAGTAATTTACATGCATAGATCTTTTGGCCCAAAGAGCTCCAAGGTTTATCAGAACAGAATTTTTTTTTTACATTACAAGGAGTGTGACTTGAACACATTCTAAAGCATAATAGAAAGAATATCGAGTAAAGAAACTAGAGCAATGCTATTATTAAGTGCAGTGTTTCTGTGTTTGAAGAGAAAAATTACCTGTGGCTTATATGTACTGTAACAATAGATAATTTTGGGGTTTATAAATACATATCATAAACAGTGGTACTCATTTTACATAAGAATTACAAACACATGCAGTGTAAAATATTGCTTTTACACATTAAAAAGTATACTGTACATCTCTTTGTTTTCAGATATTCTGGCCTCCATTGAGGAACATCTTTATTCCAGTGTTTTTGAACTGCTGGCTGGCCAAATGTGCACTGGAGAACATGATAGTAAGTTGGTTTGTTTTCTAAGCTGTACGTGGAAAAAAGACACAATTGAACTTTTGTCGAAACATGTTCACATTAGTGTGTGAATAATATTTTGGGGTAACTGGCTTTTTTTAAACTACTTTAAAAAACTAATCTTTTTTAAATATATCTCTGACTCTTGCCAGATGAATGGAAAATCAGAACTTACAGTATATAGCTTGTAGAGTTGGACTCAACCACTCTTACATAAATATAAAGGTTTTGTGACAGACCCCCTCCCTTCCCAAACACACATCATTGGCCCAAACATATTATTATTAATATTATTAGCAAAACATATTTCAATGTTTAAGCTGTGTTTGCCTAGAAGGGCAAATTCACCTTATCCCAGCAGGAATTAATGAGCTCCATATTTGCCTTTTTTATCCATCAAACTTTAAAAACTTCATTCTTGCCCACGACATTCCCATATGAACAGTCTTATACTGTGGACCAAACATGCAGCACCACATTTTGGTTACTCTGCAACAGTAACAAATATAGCTCCTGTATAAGCAATACTTTATTAATTTTTCATATCTTTGAGTTTTCCAAAATTCTTTGGCGTAGCCATGGATGTCTGAAGGTAAACCACTTGACAAAAAACTGGACTGAACAGACTATAGTATATGTGGTTTTCCTAAATCTGTTGGTTATAATTACTCATATGTTAGGAGTTACAGAACCCATTATTTCTTTGTTTAAGTTTAGTCCTTCTGCTTTTGCGATTAGGCTTTCAGGCAATAATAACACAGCTTCCTTTGTCATAGATAAAATTATAGTTCATGCATGCTGGTTGAACCACCTCAAGCAGTCATATACAGTATGGGACCTGAATGATCCTTGAATTTTTCTTTCCTTTTGCATATCCTATTAAGAGTATTCCATGACAGCTGTGTGATTTCCCACCTCATTTCCTCTCCTCACGTGCAGCTGTAAGGAATTGATTCACAGGACCAGGTTGTGCCGCAGTGTGCAGCAGATTCGGCAGATGATAATCTCAGCTGCAACCACAACAGAGTCACCAAGAAGAGCCACAACAGGATAAGACAGGACAGATAAATTAAATATCAGTGTACTCCAGTTCTTACATCAGACTGTATGCCTGCTGGTTAATTTATTCAGTCAGGCAATATGAAAAGCTTTGTAAATTAGATCAGGCCTTCAGTTCTACAGCGTTGCCTTGTCAGTGATTGCCTTGATTTTGTCAAATGTGTAATTAGTGGGGCAGCATGGTGGCACAGTGTTTAACTTTGCTGCCTCTCAGTGCTAAGGAGTTTGTATAACCTCCCCGTGTTTGCATCAATTTCCTCTGGGTTTTCCGGTTTCCTCCTGTACTTCAAATATATACGTACTGATAGGCTTCTGGGAAAATTGTCCCTGCTTTAAGTACATGTTTGTGTCCATGTGTGCCCTGCAATGGACTGGCCCCCCATTGCTGGTCAGGTTAGGCCCCAACTTCCCCCATAACCCTGTACTGGATAAAGCAGTTGAAAAAATTGATGTAATTTGTGCAGCATGGAGTTGCGGTTAGGGCTCTGTCCACATGCTGAAAATCTTTGAGGTCCTTAACAAGATGCCTTTGCCTTCTTGCTCCAGTAGACCCTGTAGATGGGTCCTACATCACTGTGGGTTTATCTGTCTTGGACTCCTGCCTGTTTCTCTTCCAGTAGAGAGTCCTGTGTTCTCAGCCTGTGGACCATTACAAAACCCTGAAGATCTGGCTCTGTAAGCCACTGGATTGTGATGACCTTAACCCAAACTTAGATCTATTTCAAATCTACATTTTTTTTTTCATGGAGTACAATAAGTATTGGACAGGTGAAAATCCACGTATATACTGAGAGCCATTGGAGGTGCGACAAAGGCATATCGGAACCAATAGCATTTGTTGCACTTTAAATGCCTCTCAGTATATCTCAGATAAAAATGTGCCCGTCTAAAGTCGGGGATTTCACAACATCCTGGTGCTCATTTATCATTTATCAACACATTGTTATTTCAGAACGATTTGCACAGAGCCATTCAGAGGACACAGTCTGCCATGTTTAATCAGGTCCTTATTCTCATCTGCACGCTGCTCTGCCTGGTGTTTACAGGGTAAGCTTACTTCCATTCCCTCTGCAGTTCTGTACGTAGAGTTGGGACAGAATTCCAATACAATACAAAGCTTTGTTCATCCACTGATGATGAGTGCTTAAGGACATGAGGATTACGTACAGTATTTGATTTTCTCCTTCTAGCAGAATCAAAATTCATTTTTTCTCCTTGTGTACAGTATGTCCAGAAATACCATAAAAAGAACAGGAGGTTGTGTTTGCAGTGAACTCTAGGGATAATGTACATTTTGAAACTTAAAATCTTGGTGTTTAATCACCAGTTGTTAAATAGGAATGTTTTCAGCTTAGCTTATGGCATTGTATAAAAACTGATGTCTAAAGCAATATCTGACTTATATGAGAATCAAATTAAAGAACAGCAGTCTCCCGCATCATCCATCAAAACCTGTCACAACTCATTTTCTATTTTAGTTTTGAGCAGGAACTCACGTTGAGCCAGCAGGTTGCTAGCAAACACCGAGAGATGCGCATGACTGAAACCAGCTATGATGTATTTGGTATTATGTGCAGGTGCTCCCTGAGACATAACACAAAAGAAGAAGATTTTTTTTTTTTCATCTTCAGGACATGTGGGATCCAGCATCTGGAAAGAGCTGGGAAAAACCTTTCTCTGTTCAACTCGTTCTATTTCTGCATCGTCACGTTCTCTACTGTGGGCTATGGCGACGTTACTCCGCGGATCTGGCCCTCCCAGCTGCTTGTTGTCATCATGATCTGCGTGGCTCTCGTAGTGCTGCCACTACAGGTGGGAGAGCAGTGTTCTGTCTAAGCTGGCTCAGAGTTTGAGCATTTTGTTATCCTGTGGAATTGGATGGCTGACTTTATCCCTGCTGAAATTTGTGCCAACAGTTGTTTTGCTATTTTGCATCACAACGCCTGGTCAACGCCAAACTGGAAACTTTCAAGCCACAGAAATGTCAAAAGTGTGTATTATCAATGGTCGGTAAAGGGATTTCAGAATAAGCAACATAATAATAATAATTGCTTACACTTATATAGCGCTTTTCTGGACACCCCACTCAAAGCGCTTTACAGGTAATGGGGACTCCCCTCCACCACCACCAATGTGCAGCCCCACCTGGATGATGCGACGGCAGCCATAGTGCGCCAGAACGCTCCCCACACATCAGCTATCAGTGGGGAGGAGAGCAAGAATAATGAAGCCAATTCAAACATATTTGACTCAGATTATAACAGGTAGATGGGACTTGAATGTTGTCAGATATAACAGATTAATTTACCCACTAAGCTTTACAAATCTTAATTAAAAAAAGGATTACACTCGTCTTTTGACAGGGATTAGGAAGCCAAAAAGTATTGGGTATTTTTTTTAAATGAAGCAAGATTTCCTAAATTGTGGTCGGCTGCTTCTTTTCTGTATGGCAGTTTGTAAGTAGGATTTGTGAGTTTTTTAGCCTCATGGCACTTAGAGATTTGCTGAATGGATTTACTGGGACTGTAGAAGAAGAAGATGAAGCCCTGTAGTTCTTTTTTATTAGGAAGCCTTGACAGAGTCTATTACCAAGATACGGTATAACAGTCTGTATGAAAGAAGAGCTATTTCTAAATGGCTAATTAAAAGATGTAGGAAAATCACAGCTGCTGCTTGGGGGCTTTTTTAGTATTTAACATCGCTATTCTGAAATTACCATAGGCAAGTCAAAGAAAGATTCAGAGGTTTGTGGAACTGATATACAAGGTCATGCTGTAAAAGCTATACATTTCTTAATTCATTCTTTAACAGACTGTTTTCCCCCCAAATGATTGAGAGTGTGCTGCAGGAGGAATGGTGGAAAATGTAGTTTAAATGTGCTTTTTTCTCAATTTTTCCCCATGATTCTATGTCATTTCTTCCATTTTAACCAGACTGTGAAAGTATGCTTTTCTTTAAAAATGAAACGGCACTGACTTCTCTCCACCTGTCAGTAGTTTTGTAATGTGTTGGATGATGGAGCCACACTCTGATCTTGCAGTTTGAAGAGCTGGTGTACTTGTGGATGGAGAGGCAGAAATCGGGTGGTAATTATAGCCGTCACCGAGCTCAGACGGAGAAACACGTGGTCCTGTGCGTCAGCTCTCTGAAAATCGACCTTCTGATGGATTTCCTCAATGAATTTTATGCACATCCACGGCTTCAGGTAAGAATACAGTGGCAAATTGAAAAATTCCTTCTTTTCGTATCGTCATCCTTTAGCAAACAGCAGAAAAGGAGTGAAGTCGAATGTACTGATCAACAAGTACATTTTTTTTCTTTATGAACAGTTTGGTGAAATCTGTAACTTTGGCATATTTTGGCATTAGAAAAACATTATTCTGTGGTCTACATACTGAAGAATAAATTATTTAAATTATATAACTTATAGGTCATTATTATTGTACATAACGTGTTATCTTAAATGTGGTTGTAGTTCAGGTGGGTAGTTGCGTCAGCATGCGTAGGCTGCAAGGGAACAAGTAATAGGTTTATTCCATGCTGAAAAAAAGAAAAAAGAGAACACAACGTTTCGGCCGTGGAGCCTTCTTCAGGTGTGCTTCTTCTGGTGTGCCACACCTGAAGAAGGCTCCACAGCCGAAACGTTGTGTTCTCTCTTTTCTTTTTTTCAGCATGGAATAAACCTATTACTTGTTATCTTAAATGTGTTTAATTGAAATGTCTGTGGAATTGTACAGTAGTTTGTTATTAATTTGTTTCAGCTGTTAAAAAAATCAGTCTCTTTAAAATAAAATGTTCTTGATCAGATGAGCTGAGGCTTAAAATGAAATTATCACCTGTCCAAGTGCACAAATGGAATTTTTAAGTGTGCAATCAACCATTTTTTAAACTGTTTTTTTTTTCTTGTCAAAAGACCAGGAGAATTGTACTACTATAGCTTTGTTCACAAACAACTTTCCTGGTGATCTTGAATAAAATACACAGGAACTGCTAAGTGCAGAGATACAGATTGTGTCTTTTGGGTTTCTCTAACTTATCTTATTTGAAGCATTAGTTTTCAACTTGATTTAATTTTATGAACTGCTTTGGAAATGCTTAATTCCACCGACAGGTCGTACCTAAAATGTTTTTGAATTCTGAATCTGACCATCTCATCTGGAAACTTTATTGACTGTACATGTATATGTTTTTTTTTTTAAGTAACTTGAAAGAGTTCACTTTATAAAAAGTGGAGAATAAGAAGGGAGAATTATTTATTCAACTATGGCTTCTGTTACGCTCAGTTGACATAGGAGATAGCTTTGTTTCAAAGATGGTGCCGAGCCATACTGGGACCAGTGGTGTTTTCTCATTGGAGGCTGTTCCTGTTAAGTGAAAGATCTCCTCTCTCTGCTTGCAGGATTACTACGTAGTCATTTTGTGCCCAACAGAGATGGACCTCCAGGTGAGACGTGTCCTGCAGATTCCACTGTGGTCCCAGAGGGTCATTTATCTTCAGGGATCAGCTCTGAAGGACCAGGATCTCATGAGAGCTAAGTGAGTATGAAAAACCCTCTCTCTTATCTCTCTCCTGTCAGTTCATTAGGCGGATGATATTTACAGTAGGTCAGTTTTAACCCTGTACTACTTCATAAAACTGAAGTAGTTAAATTAGTGGTTGTAGTCAAAAACACTATAAGTTATGTAAAAGTATTGTAGGATTTTTTGTACCATGTATTTTTTATAATGTTTTTTTCTATTCCTTCTGACTTGCTCTACAAGGACATTTCTGGCAATGTTGTTTTCCTCCCCCTCTTAATTGTTCTTTTCCCAAACCAAAAATTTGACTTTTAAAGACAAGTTATTGCAGTTACCAGGCTAGTTCACTGCATTTATTTGTTGTTCTGCATCAGCAGTCGAGCAAAAAAAAAGTATTTGCATTTTAAATAGAAGTGGTTGGGTCCTAAAAATAATTTAAAACCTTCAGTAAAGCTGTTTATCAGAAGTAATAAATTCTGGCTAGTTCATGATAACACAGACATAAATGTGTGAGACACTCTTTCCTGAATTCTGAGTGCCACCAGTATTAATAATTTCTGTTGCATGTCAAAACATTATTATTATCATTATTTTAATTTATCAAGCACTGAAATTTAAATTCCCGTTCTTTGTGACCTATTCATGTCTGTGGGCCACAATAATTTCTGAAAGGGAAGACAAATACTTTTGAAGGCATTCAAAATATCTTCCTGTTGCACGTTTCATTAATCATAAAACACATTGTTATAACTCAGCCTGCCATCATCGCCTTACCAGTTTGACAGCTCCTTTGTGTTCATGTATTATTACCATTTTTTGAGGAATTAAAACACCTTGGACGCCATTAAAATCGCTGGTGTAAAATCAACACTGTGCTTCATCGAAAAGAAAGTAAATTATATTAGAAAGGAGAGAGAGAGTCATGACCACTCTCTGTCAATGTGGAGTATTCGAGCAATAATTGAAATCATTCGTCTGTGAATCTGTGAAATGTTAATATAGTAGATTTACCTGGTATAAGTAGGGGCCTGCAGATTTGCATGGGAATAATAGGGCAGGGGAGACAGGCTCCACTAACCTGCTACTCTTAATAGCTCCCACTAGACCCATTTGTCTTCTGACTACTGTAGGCTCTATAGAGAATAAATATAAGACCTAACACTGATCAAAGATGACATCTCTGTGAGTGCAGGAACCCAGCAAGTCACAAATTAGTCACAGGTCACCCTCTTTCTTCAAGCACTGAGTCCTGGACAACTAATCCTAATTCTATTAATAATCCCTTACATTTACAGTATATACTGTAGCACTTTTCCAGACACTCCACTCAAATCGCTGAACGGACTCCCCTCCACCACCACCTCGATGATGCGGTGGCAGCTATAGTGCGCCACTACACTCATCTCATACAGCACCAGCTATCACTGTGAAGGAGAACAGAATGATGAAGCCAGTTCATAGATGGGGATTATTAGGAGGCCATGATTGGTAAAGGCCAGTGGGAAATTGACTTAACACCCCTCTTTTCTCTTTTCGAGAACCACACTGGGATTTGTAATGACTATAAAGAGTCAGGAACTCTATTTTTCATGTCATCTGAAGGAAGGCACCTTTTTACAGTATCTTTTACCTTTTTACATCACTATACTGGGACATTGGGACCCACACAGACTGTGGGTTGAGCGCCCCCTGCTGGCCCCTCTACTACCTCTTCCAGCAGCAACCTTAGCTTTTCCCAGGAGGTCTCCCATCTAGGTACTGACCAACCAGCTACTGACTCACAACTGCTTAGCTTCAGTGGGTTGCCATTTGTGAGTTGTAGGGTGATATAGCTGTTGAGCAATCCTACCTTTGTGGCACTCTGTCAGCAGTGAACTACATGATTTGTGCACCACTGTGCAGGAATATCTTTGTCACCTTTTCACAATCAACTAGTGAAGATCTAGGCTGTTCTTTTTTACCAATTCAACACCTATTTCTAAAAAAAAGAAGTGTGCTGAATTTTTCTTTCTTTTGGCTTTTTAGAATGGATGATGCAGAGGCCTGTTTCATTCTGAGCAGTAGAAATGAGGTGGACAGGACAGCAGCTGTAAGCAATTATCTATTTTTAAAATTAAATTAGGAAATAAGGCACAACATAGATATGCACTCTTTTACCTTTGGAAGTGATTCTTTTCTCTAATCTTGAATGTTTAGGGCTTAAGCAGTCATTTAAAAATATTAAATGACATTGGGGTACAATTGATTTCCTACTTTAACTATCTACTATAAACCAACTATCTACTTTGAAGAACTGAAAATATAAATCAGTTTTCATTAGTAGTTACAAGGCTAATCCACAAAAAGCATAAAATTATTATTTTCATACTTATGATCTGTATGTGGAGTATATTAAATTTGAGGCAAATGAAAAATATTTATGGTTTCAGGAAATGTGTGCTACCTGCCTGTTTACTAAATTTCAATATGTATTGAACAGACCTTGTCTGATGTTTCTTAACTCCCGTGCTCTTGTGAAGAGACTCATTTCATTCTTATCTCAAAGTCTGCACTTGCTTAGTAATTCATGTCTTGAGTTCCAAACAAAACATCTCAGGCCAGATTTGACTTAATTCAGAAAAACTGAAACTACTGCCTTTTACAACATTGGTAGCAAGGAAGCCTTTTTGTTTCTACAGGATCATCAGACTATCCTGAGAGCATGGGCTGTCAAGGACTTTGCACCAAACCGCCCTCTCTATGTGCAGATACTGAAACCAGAAAATAAATTCCATGTGAAATTTGCAGGTAAGTATTTTTAATTTCCTAGTTGCAATCATGTTTATTTCCTGTGGTGGAATAGAGAAGTGAGGGTGTCTCCTTTTCTTGCAGACCATGTTGTGTGTGAGGAGGAATTCAAGTACGCCATGCTAGCCCTGAACTGCGTTTGCCCTGCCACCTCCACACTCATAACTTTGCTAGTCCATACCTCGCGGGGACAGTGAGTATCAGCTCATTGATAAATGAAAGAAATTGAAGTAGGTGGCTGCGTCAGCATGCTTAGGCTGCAAAGGAACAGGTACAGGTTTATTCCATGCTGAAAGGAAGAGAACACAACATTTCAGCTGTGGAGCCTTCTTCGGGTAAACCTTTACCTGTTCTTTTGTAGCAAAGAAATGTTTGATGCCTTGTCGGTTTTGCCTCTGTTTTCTTCCTAATGTTGTGTTCCTAATAATGTTTCTTCACAAGTGGCCTTGATTAACAGATAGCTCTTCATGCCAGTGGCTTTGTTTCAGTGAACAAAACGTGAGAGGTATATAGTTTTCTGTACACTTTCCTATGTTCAAAGAGTCTCTTAGCAGTTAAAGCCAGGGTGGAAAATTGCTATTTTTGGGCAGCTGCTCCCTACTTAACCATGTGTGTCTGATCTTTTTCCTTTCCATTGCATGTGAACGTTTTGACTTCTTGTCACTAGAAGGCTTGCATTTCATACCTTGATCCCTCTATCAACCCTTTCATCTACAATCAGCAGATCTTACTGATCATCAAGGACAATTTAAAGGCATCACTTGGCCATATTATATCAAAATACGTTATTTTAGGAAAACCACCTACTTTCTGTATGTTCAGCATACTTTCCTAGCTTTTTTTGGGTGGTGTCTGCAGATACAAATATTTGATTTTCTCTACGTACTGTAAATGTGTTTTACTCGAGACAAAAAGCATCTGTATGGTATGTAAGGTAAACATTATTAAGCAGTAACTGAAGTCTCAGGGAAATTCATTCAGTGTTGTCATTGGAAACAGGTATTTGCTAGGTACTAGCTGACTATGAAAAGGATTTCCTTAGAAGCTGTCCTTTTTGTCCATCTTAGCCAGCCAGATTCTCTCAGTAAAACAACGCCCCCAGAAACTTTCCATTTACTAGCAGTCTTGTGGGGAAGTCTGTGTAGAGGGCTGCACCCCTCCAGCAGTGGGTGTTGGAATTCTTGTACTGAACATCAACACACAGCTTGTAGCCTGTGAGAAAGGTGTGTTACATGATGGATGGACAGGTTGTAGGACCTTTATATGCACTGTTTTATTCCTGTGTGGAATATAGGGGTCATCCCTGTAATATCAGACCATAAAACACAGTTGGTGATGGAAAATTGGGTGGGTATAGAATAAAAATAGCTAGTGATTCTAAATTAGAGAAAAAATAAATGAGCTGTTATGTAGTTAATAAGAAAGTTTGGGATACACTTTTTTAAATTGTACAAATTAAACATGACTGAGTAATTTCCAGGGCTAGAAAACCTTTTTATGTTTATAATTTCTATCACATCAACAGTATTCTAATATTCTGGCATATCAACTTTATTTAATAGTAAATGTATTTTTGATATTCTTTAGACATGTTGCCCTGTAAACACAATATGGTTAGGTAGTGTTATTTTAAAATGCATCCAACGCCTGGGTGTATGAAATGTGTTTTTGGTGAAAACGGTCCATTTTGTGATGACAGTAGAACTTCAGGTTGGGGTTGTGGTTTTTGTTCAACAAACCGCAATACAAATAATACAGAAAAGAAACCTCATCCACCATTTCATGCAACCTTCTTAGACGTCAGCATGGCAGATTGGTTTTTGTTCATTCTGTTACTTGTTTTTCATGGAATTCTTCCAGCTGATTCTAATGACCTAGCTCACAGCCTGCAACTAAAAAACATTTCAAAATCTTTCTCACAGAGAATGCGTATAAGAACATCTAAGTGGAAAATGTTTTTTTTTTGCAATAAAGTAATTTATGGAAATTCATATTGGGGTTTTTTTCTAGTGAACTGTAGCATTGCATTGTTTGAGGGATCAGAATATTGACAGTCTGACTTCAAACAAAGGGCAGGAGTCACTTTGATAACAGACTCTCCTGTTTTTCTAAATCTCCTAATTCTTTACTGACACCTTAATGATAATTATTTACAGAACTCCCTTGGAAGCTTTAGACCAGAGACAAGGAGCATACCACTCTATATTCAGGTGATATGACCTTCATAGGAAGCACTTCTGAAAATAATCACTTCATTAGACTAGCCTCCATTGTGTGTGTCTGACAGCATATCTAAGAGGCTATAAAGCTGGTTGGTCTTTTAAGAGCATTCTTACAAGCAACGTTAAGAGAACATGATGCATTTTTATTGCCTAATATTTTATTTTGTCTTGGTTTGTCTTTTTAGTTGGAATTGCTTATTTTTATTATATATCCTCCCAGTGTGGAATCACTCATTTTGGGTTGACAGCAACACCTGCCGAGGTCCACAGCATCTAACTGGAGAGATATTGTTGAATGGAGAAGGGACATGTTTGTCCCTGACTTCACTACAAATCTCCATGTCCCTTACCAAGTCTCAGGGATCCCTATTTGCAAAAAGCCCTGCCTGACTTATACCACACTAATACCCTGGTGATACTCTGTTACATGCACAGGACCACTTGGTCACTGTCAATTCATGACTTGGCACTGGTTTAAACCAGCAACATCTGGTGGTTAATCACCCATGGTACTCATGTCAGAGCTTGCCTCAACTGGAGGAGGGATGGAGCTTTCAGTGACAATGTTACATGCTCAGGGACATATAGAAGCAGCAAACACCTGCCCACTAAGAATCAGGCAATTCGCATCACCCGTTACTTTGCACATAGGCTCATTAGAATGCTTTGACTTGACCGGCTATGTTTATATCCCCTTTCTATATGCCCTGTGTGCAGTTCACCACTTCATGCTTTTTTTAACAATTTGGTTAAAGAGGGAAAACTAATATTGCATCTCTTCAGTCCTTCGGAAGGACCAAACTTAAAATGGACGATAATCACAGATGGCAGACAAGATGGCCCCTGAAATTTACTAAAGAAAGTGTTCATTACAGGTCAGGTAAATGGATGTTTTATCCTTCCTTGACCAGAAGCAATACTCTAAAAAGAATGGAACAAGACACAAGTGACACAAAAAATGTGTGAACTTCTGAGGCCATCATGTTATGCTGACAGTATCTTGAAACAGATCTTCCCGGACATGGGCAGAGCTTTACAGATGTTGAGCTTTTGCTGGTGTTTCAGGGAAGGCCAACAGTCTCCTGAACAGTGGCAGAGGATGTATGGACGCTGCTCGGGGAATGAGGTCTACAGCATCAGGCTGGGAGACAGCAAGTTCTTCGGGGAGTACGATGGGAAGAGTTTCACTTATGCCTCCTTCCACGCTCATAAAAAGCAAGTATAATGTTTTTCCCAAACTGTGAAGTTTACAGCTTAACATATGCAGGTGTGAAGCAAATGCCAAATTTCATCCCCACAGCCAGGGCAGGATTATTGGATGAGCACTACAGGAAGCCCCGAATGAGTCAGAGGCGGTCGGTTGGTGTAGGTTTTGAGTTTAAGTGCTATCTTCCAATTAGATTTGCCAATTGGGTTGATTAATTTTAATTGAATTTATTGGGACTGAAACTCGGACGCCCGCCGTGAGCCTCTCGGGCGCTGAGCAGAGTCATGAGGAGAAATAAGGTTAAAAAAAAAAACTAATTTCTCTTCCCTCGTCAGGTACGGCGTGTGCTTGATAGGAGTCAAGAGAGAAGACAACAAGAGCATTCTGCTGAACCCAGGCCCCCGGCATATCATGGCCTCCTCTGACACCTGTTACTACATCAACATCACCAAGGAGGAGAACTCAGCCTTCATTTTCAAACAGGAAGAAAAGCACAAGAGAATAGGAGTTGGTCCTGGGGGTCTTTACGATGCTCCATCAAGGCTCCCTGTGCACAGTATCATCGCCAGTATGGGTAAGTCAGAACACTGTACATGTTAGAGGCCAGGTGACCTCACAATTTCTAAAATGACTCAATCCTGGTCTGAAAATATTTTGGTTTAATCTCATTAATTGACTTCAAAACTTAAACATCTGAAATAGGGTTTCCTCCTTTTTTTCCTTTTTTCTGTTCCTACCAATCTTCATAATCTTTGATTTTCCTTTTAAATAGGTGTATTGTATTGTAAGGTACCAGTTTTTTTCTGTTATGTTCTGAAATAGAGACTACTAGTACAGTATATGTGTTTTTGTCTGCCCTTGTCGTGTATCAGCATGAGTACATAAGCTGACTGTTTTCTTGGCTGTTTTACTTCTTTCTCTTTTTGGCTGACCCTTTTTTATTGTTTCTTTTTCTTTAATATTTTAAAGTTAATCAGTCCACCGCCTATGGTAAGTTGTGCATGTCGCTTCAATGGCATTTTGCAAAGAGAAAACAAAGGAAGGAATGTTTCAAAGCTTTCAGTATAGATTTGTATTTTTTGCACCCATTTTGCTTTTGCAAGGCGAGCTTTTGCCCCCCAAAAGTGGTACTGAATATGTCTCCAGTTGAAGAAATGGGTAATGACAAACTGAACTTCCTAAAATGCTTTTTCTTAAGAATAAGACAATAGGATTCCAGATTTATTCCTAAGACATCACAAATAATACTATGTCTACACTGCTTTTGTTACTACTTTGTCTAAAAAAAATGAAATACATTTCCTTCCAAAATGGCCTACAGTATATAGACTGTTTTCTATACTTGTGTAGAATTGTAATGAAGTTTGGTCCTGGAACAAATACACTTCTTCTTTCTAGACCTTTAGAAGCATCTTATTAACTATCAGCAGAGATTTATTCCTAGAGAATTGGGTGTTTAAATTCTAGACATTGTGCAAAAGCTTAGCCAAACTAATCACCCGCCCTGAACATACTGTACTGTAAAAAGAAACAAGCATTTTTTAACACTATAATGAATGGTTAACCAAAATGATGTGATCAAACTTTTCTAAATAGCTATTTTCTAAATTTTATTTAACTTCTGTTTGCCTAAAACATAAAAAGAATGCCACCTATCTTCTAAAAACCAGGATAATGTACTGTACATACTGTCTTGGTTACTGCACACTTCTTTCAACACACTTTTAATCCTTTTTAATATTTATTTGTTTATTAATATGCAAATAAATATTATACAATATCTGAAAGATATATTACATTATAACAGAGCACTAACCTTTGTCCATATGGGAGGTTTTGCTTCCAACAGCTAGTATGATAGGACATAGGATTGTGAACGTTTAAAAATATCAGTGGAATTTGCATGTTTATATACACAATCTGGGAAATTATCACTGTATTCTGAAAATACAGTTCAGTTTTATGAACAATTTCCGAGCAAAACCCACTGTATACTGTGGGCAGATTCATCAGATATTCAGCTTTGTTGATTTTGCAAAATGCAGCTTGCACTAAGACCTTGCACTGTATGTGTTTAGAGTGATTAGGTTATTTAACTTAGTTCTGGGGAATGTCTGAAAAAACGCATTTTTTCTCAGAGGTTGTGAATGTGTAATACCCGATTGCCATTGAATTAAATTATTAATTTTTACATTTCTGAATAATTTAATTTCAACGTTTTAAAACGTGCCCTTTTGAAGAATGTTATCTAGGCCACTCAACATACCTGCTTTGCCGGTCACGAGGGCCACAGTAAAAAAAGAGACTACCGCCAGGTATTTCCATATCACCGCAGAAAAAGTAAATAGTACCCGCGGTTCTTATTTCAGGAACTGTAGCCATGGACCTGCAGAACACAGAGTGCCGACCCAACAACAGCAGCAAGCTGGCCTTGCCTGCAGAGAATGGAGCAGGCAGCAGGAGACCTAGCATCGCGCCTGTCTTGGAGATCGCAGACTCCGCCTCCATTCTGCCATGTGACCTATTAAGCGACCAATCAGAAGATGAGACCACGCAGTCGGATGATGAGACAATACCTGCTCCCGAGTATGTATCAATGAGGCACGGTGGTAGGGGAGCACAGGCAGGTGCTGGAATTTGCCCATAGTTTCTAACATTTCTTTTTTACCTTAACAATAGAGAATATTTCCACTGTGATTCCACAGCAATAAATTGTCAACAAAGCTTGCCAACAGCTTGTAATTGTTAGTGATTCAGGCCCCTAGAGAGCCAATTTCCACCTGGAATTTTCTCCCCTGTTTTGTTATATCTCTGCAGCAGAATGTAGCAAAAGCCTGGTTAAGGTCTTAAATTGAAGCTAACACCCTTGGCACCTTAACACCTGGCATATATTTCGTTGATCTCTTAATGTGTCCACTAAGCAGACAAACAAAAAAAACAGCAGGCAGATTTTTTTCCTGTCTTCAAATTTTTTAGGCCTATCAGTTGGCTCAAAATGGTTGTAGGCCTTGTCCTAGATGTCATATAAAAATATAAAAGATGTAAAAGATATTGCAATGGCTATAAAAGCCTTTAGGCATTGAAAAAAACTTTGAGAGTGGCCTTCAGGTGTGAAAAAATTACCACTGATAAGAAACTGATTGATTACCACCTGCTGTGTCAACAATTGATAGCTGGAATACAGCTAGAATGCAGCCAGAGGCTCCCAGAGGAAGTCCCATCCCCCAAGGGCTCTGAAAAACTAAAAATACAATTGATGACAGTGTTTTCCACCAATCAGACCAGCTTTTTCGAAGCAGTCAGTTTCAAAATTCAGTTCCAATAGTCATTGTCAGTTTTCTTCAGGTCTGGAGCTTTATAGTTAGCCTTTTCTGGATATATTTCTGATCTTATGGATGCCCCGACCAAGGTAAAAACATGGGATATATGCTTTTTTGGTGGTTATTGATTACTTATCAATGAACTTTGGAAGTTTGCTGAAGTGCGTCATCACATAGCAAGTGTTATTGTGATTGATTGCCTTGGGGTATTTTGGTTCTGACAATGGTTTTCTGAATCTCTGGTTGTCTATTTTTGATTGCTAAAAGGTTTTCTGTAAAGTTTTTTTGGTTTTGTTGGTGAAATACTATGAAATGTAATTTGCATCTTGTGTAAATATTGACTTAGTATGGTTCCTCTGG